TACTTAACGAAAACTTTCGACAATTTGCTTGACTTTTATTTTCTAAACTGTCCTCAAAATTCAGCAATATAAAGACATCCGTTTTGAGAGTTTTGTAAATGCAAGTGTTGCTGCCTACTTCAAGGACATGGTTTACACACACGCGTCTTTTGGATGATGACCGGCATTATGCAGAATGAATATAACATAGTAATCTTTGGGTGATAACGTGCACAGTATGAGTTTTTTGTTAATTTTTAAGTGACTTGATACAAAGCAAGTTAGTCTCAAATATGAGTGATACTGTTGACCCCCTTTATGACGCTGACTTTTAAAAATGGTTCTATCCACGTCACATTATTCACGCATAATTGGCATTTCCTCCCCATCGCGGATACCCATTATTTCGTATGACTTCATCTGTAACCAAAAATAGAAGTCAGGGGACTTTCCAGAGCTCATTTGCATTCATAGGACACAATGGTGGGGGTAATGACAAGGTTACCTGTGTCTTGATACGTAACAAGGAAACAAGTAACAAATAAGTCCAAATTTAGTAAAAATTACATTCTACCTGCCTGAACTTCAAAAGAGTGACGTTTTTATGGGCACGACACGGACTCATTTTCTAAGAATTTTTTTTTAGAATTCTTTTTAGAATAAGTCTTAACAAAGAAGTGTACAAGAGAAAAGCTTGCCTACATTTTACACTACATTGGAAACTGTGAGAACATTTGACACTACATCGGACTGTGTACTCGACGTCAACATGAAGTAGGTTATTCTCGTAGGTTAATATACGTTCTGATATTAAATCTTTATATCACATGTAATCCTGCTCTGTTGACATCTATATAGTGTTGCCGTATATCACGCAGCCGTCCTTGTTTTCTGTCGTTGGAAAGTTTGTTGCCCCTTCGCAAAACTTGCTCGTTTTAGTTTTTTAAGTAATACTACTACAAACAAGTTGGTATTTTAGTACGTACTTCTAAAGTCTTTTAAAAGTTTTTATCAGTTTAGTACTCCAAGGAAGTACTGAAGAAAGGATAGACCAGATATGACAATATTTTAAATTTACGTTGTTGATAAATGCCTTTGATGCCCACCTAGCTATACTCTTTATAATATAAGGTAGGTGACCCACTGTTTCCCGTGATGGCATCCCCCTAAGATGTCCACGTTCGTTCAAGGTTTAAAGTTCATACTATCTACTCTGAACCCAAACCTCTGGATGCATCTCGAGGACCTTGGCCTCAAAACCAGAAAACTGTGTTAAATATGTCGGACATTTTCGCATACAGATATATTTTCCTATTCAACAAATTTTGTCATATTTCCACCGTTCTTTTTTATATCCTCTGTACAGTTAATGCACGACACGTGTCGCTCCGTAAAGTTACGACAGAGCAACCTTTTTGGTGATGGCGCTGTTTTGATTCTGACCTCCTACTTACAATAGTTGCCGCCCGTCAAGTTGATTTCATGAAGTAATAGATATTGACAAAAATTTCTCAGCTGGCATTCCTGGCTCTTCCTCCTTACGTTCTCACAGTTCTTAGGTATGGTCCATTCTCCAACTTGAGCATGTAAGGTAGGTATGGCACTGTCCGTAACCAACATGAAGACAAATATGTGGTGACCTTTCTATCGTTTTTCTTCCGCTTGAGCAGACACTGTAACGACTGGTTTTCTCGGACTGTACCACCTAGCGCCGTATGTGATGGTCCTTAAAGTATAACTTTTCTGTTATATGCAGTTTTCTGTTGCAACCCTAATCATAACCTAATTTTTTGTAAAATGTAAAATATGTTATATTTGCCTTGCTTGATACATAAAAGTTTAGGAGCAAATAACAGGACAGTGGTATGTTCCCAATCTCCTCAACAATTATTTGAGCTTCATAAACCGTAGGTGTCGCCTTGAATTCGGGTTCAGTGAACAGTGTTGTAGCAGTCATTCTTATAGATCAAGGAATTGTGCCTAATGGGTTGGCGACACAACTTAAAGTCAAAGAACACATGAATCATCCTACAACCTGGGTATGACGCGATATTAAAAGTAGTACGGACACAACCCGTAAATCCATCTGAGTATTATCTAAGAGTCATTCAGCCAGTTGTCAATTCCGATATTAGATGGTCTTGTATCGACTGTAAATGTTTTCCAGTTTGTTTATAAATTGCTTATCAGAGTGAGCAGACTGCAGTTCTGTTCAACTCCACAGGGGGTCATTTATAGAAGGCTATACATATGCGTGATGTATATTTAGTGCTGTCAGATATTACGCAACCCTTTTTGTTTCCTGTATTTTTTTCTCACCGATCTCACAACGAAGGACTACCAAAGAAAGGGTAGCAAATTCAGTAAAATTCTAATACGAAGTAGTAGAAAGCCTTAATGAAATAATCAACACTCATTTCCTTGTGACGCGGTTCTTTACTACTAGTACTCAGGTTGCGAAACAATTAAGTCGATCTCAGGGGCCTTGGCCTGTGCTAAACTGAGCCCATTTGTTAAATGAGTTTAAAATATTTACGGTCGGTTACATTTTTCTTCTTCTGGATCGGTTTTTAACATAAGTTTTAAACATCTTCTATGACAATTGTATGTTTTTGGGTATAACGTATATCATATATACATCTTGGGTATAACACATTATATACATATATACATTCATTTTGGGTATAACATATTATATACATATATACATCTTGGGTATAACATATTATTTCATCTTGGGTATAACATATTATACATACATCTTGGGTATGAAAAATACGGTAGACCATACCTCTGGGTGGTAGCCTTGTATTCTGACCTTCTACCTACATTGTAGTCACCTGTAAAGTTGGGTATTGATTTTAACCAGACTCTTTGTCCATGTAGATTGGCCTTGGCCTCCAAATGTATCCTTAGGCTCGTTAAGTACGATCCATAATAGTCCATACCTAACATACAGGCAAATATATGATTTCCATACCTAACATAAACTCAAATATATAATGACCTTTCTACCGTCTTTCTTCTGTGTGAGGAGACACTGAACCGACTGGTTTTCTAGGACTGTACCACCTTGAGTCATAGGTAACGGATATTAATCTTTTAAAGGTTACTGTCAATTTTATATCTTATCTGTTGCCACGCAGAACATTATCTTATTCTTTTTGTCACGTTTGAAAATATGACCCTTTTGCCAACAGTTATGTATAGCAGTGTAGGAGACAATAATAAGACAATGGTACCTTCCAAATCTCAGCAATTATTTGCGCCTCATTAACAGGATGCGTAGCCTTGAATCCAGGGTCACTAAGCTTCGTGTTCGTACTAGTAGTTTTTATGATTATGGACCGCGGAACTGTGGGATCGTCAACACTTGGTTCAGTGAGATGTTGTATACATTAAAATTTATAGGGAGGCGTCCTTGCTTGATAATTGCCAACGCTACTTTTCTTTTGGCCCGTCTGTTTTATTGATTATATATAAACAACTATGTTAACAAAGAGTGATTAATGTTTCCCCTTTTCGTGTGTCTTACTGTATTTTAGAGAAATGTAGTTTTTTTTTTCATTTCATTTTTTTAACTGCCGGACTGGGTCTCGGTTTGGAACTGTTATCTTAGGATAAGGTAGTCACTAAAAGGAGTCAATATTTTTAACTCAAAACAGTTAGCAGCAGGTGTGTTTTTGGTTAAAAACAAACAACTTACTGTTCTTAATATAAAGACCACCCTGGTGCATTGCGTTAGAGAAGCGAAACCGGAGAAAAGAGCCCTTAAACAGAGCTGTTAAAAGTCATGTTACAGGGCAGACACCACATTTGCGTTGCGCAGTAGAGGCCTCAAAATGGGAACACGATTGTAGTGCCTAGTTAATACCTTTGAAAACCTTTTTTTCTCTTGAAATTTTTGGTCCATTTTGGAGATTTTTGGGCTGGAAGGCACAGGTAGGGTCAAAACTTTCCTACATTGGTCAAGTTTTGTTTATTTCACCAGTTTAGTGGGCGTAGTGAGAGATGTGAGTGGTTAGGTCTTGTCTGGCCAGGCGGATGGATACCATGGAAAATGTAGATCAAAGTTGAGTTTTTTTTACTATCATCAGCTGTGGCGGGAATTTGAGATGGTCAACCCCCTGTTTCCTTTCTATTTTTGGGAATCAGACCCTTGTTGCTACCTGGTGCAGAAAAAATTTTAAGATTGGAGTATGGGCAAGTACTTTCATGAGGTGTTGAAATAGTGCATTTAAGCATGTGTTCCTATGGCAAGATCTAATAGTACTGTCTGTCCTACAGTAACGGTTGTGCCTTGTGTGGCAGACGTTGTTATCGCCTGTATAGGACTGTTCAGCCACAGTCACAGCTGTAGGGCTGATACATCAATTAGGATTTTACCATGGTCATTGTTGACCTAATGAGACCATATATAAATAATATTGGAGTCTGACTACCTCCAAAAATTTGAAATGAGAAATAATGTTTGGTTTTTCTACCCTATTTATAGGTTTTTTAACGGCGCACTCGTGGTTCTGCTAATATGTACACTGGTTCTGGAGTCGGACGGATGGTGGAGTCGTCGCCGTCGACGCCGCTCTTCAGGTGAGAAATTAAAATTTTGTAAAATGGCCCTAAAAATTCTTTTTTTAAATACTTACAACTGTTTTAGGAAACTGTGTTACAAAACAAAACAAAAAAACTTGTTACCTCCATGAAAAATGAAGGTATTGTTTTTGGCGCGTCTGTGTGTCTGTGTGTGTGTGTCTGTGTGTTTGTGTTTCCGGACATTTGCGGCCAGCATAACTTCATAACGCCTTTATGGATTGTGATGATATTTTGTATGCTGGTAGGTCTTAGGAAGACGAATGTCAAGGTCAAATATGGGCCTCCTGGTGAATGACCTTGGTACTGCAGCAGAACGTCCGGTTTTTGTATCTTTTGTCCTGAACATGCTATGGTCTTTATTTTTTGGTGACAGATAGATTGTCCTGTTAGGACCTAGATCCAAAAACCCAGGCCATAAGGCATTTATAATGACAGCCTGTCTTACCTTTCCTTTTCAGCTGACAAGTAAATTCGCGTTCTAATTTGCTTCTTTTTTTTCCCAGGGTCTTCGCTCTCCTGTCTCAATGGTCCACCTGGGCGCAGAATCAACAACCATTGGACCGACTGCAATGGACAAGGACCATACCCACATGGGGCGAAATGTGAATATACTTGCCGGCTGGGGTACGGCATAGTCTCCGGCAGCAGAACCAGATTCTGTCGTAATGGAGCCTGGACTGGTTCACCTCTAGTCTGTGGCGGTGGTATGTATCTTATAATGACGACTGTGCACAAAACGTTCGCAAAATTAAAGTTGCTCAACCCTATTACCGTCAATGTTTATGCTAAATTACTATGTACCACTGGGAATCTATATTAACATGTTACCAGTATCTTTACACACAAATATATACGAGGGGTGTTTAAAAAGTTCTCGGCCTCACATAGAAAACGTCAGGGCAGTAAAATTTTTACACTATTTTTTGATATAGTCCTCTCTAACCGCAATGCACTTGGTCAGGTGATGTTCCAGCTTTATTTTCCCCTTGTGGAAGAAGGTTGCATCTGGACCCCCCAGATTGGCCTATACCGCATAGATGACGTCATCATTACCATCAAAACGTTGACCACGTAAGTGGAAATTGAGTTTAGGAAACAGGTAGGAGTCCAAGGGTGCTAGGTCAGGTGAATTGGAAGGGTGGGATTAGACTGCAAACCCAAATTCGTTTGCTGCTGGCACTGACCCCTATGCTGTGTGGACAGGTGCATTGTCATCACGCCAGCTCGGAGCTTTCCTCTCCTTTTCTCTTTGATCGTTGTTCTCAACTGTCGTAATTCTGTTGAATAGTACTCCCCATTGATGCTTTAACCCCTTCACATGTAGTCAATCATGATTACTTCCTTACTGACATAGAAAACAGAGGCAAAAACCCTGTCAAGGGACGAAACTCGCTAAAACTTCTTGGGGGGCCGGGGAAAATTCTGCATCCATTGTTTGCTCTGCTGTTTTGATGTGGGGTGAAAGTGGTGAACCCATGTTTCATCTTGAGAGAAAAATCGTTTGAGTAAATTGCCTTGATGGACTGAATTCGTTCCTTGAAATGTCCAACCTGTGTAACCTCTGATGTTCAGAAAACATTCGAGGCACCCACCATGCAGACAGTTTGTTCATCCCCGGGATGTCCGAGGAAACATTGTGAACTGAGTCATAACACAGGCCAAAGAACCTGCTACATGTCGGTCAGTCTAACATCTGTCATTCACTATCATGTGATGAGTGGCCTCAACTGGATTGTCCGTGGTGCTGATTTGTGGCATCCTGACATAAGTTCATCTTTTGTGCTGTCCTTGCCGCGCTTATAGCTAGTAACCCACTTCTCTATAGTTTAATAAGAAGGGGAGTCATCACCAAGTGTCTTGACCATGTCTTCATGGACTTCCTTGCGAGACATCCTTTTTTATCGATATACTTGATCAGAGCTCACGCTTCTGTTGCGGCCATTTTGTGATTTTCCCTCACCCACCCCATTTTCACGGGGCGTCACGTGCTTATCAATGAATATAAAAATTTGAATTTGTGTGTGCAGTGATGTAAGACGTCATAGTATACAGCTACACCAAAGAATAGTAGTTTGACCTTTATTTTCTAGGTGAGGCCGAGAACTTTTTGAACACCCCTCGTATCATATTTTTCATGATCCTATATTCACATTTCAAAGATAGGATTTTTAGTCACACATCGTCATTACACTCAGCACACTCACACCATAAAATATATTCCCTTTTCTGCCCCCTGGCTATCTTTTAAAAGTCACTTATTGCATGTTTTCTTTTTATATAGGGACCACTTGCCGTTCTCCGCCTACTGTGCTGAACACCATCAGGAGAGGCTGTTACCCCCGTTATGAACAGGGGGAGGTCTGTCGCTACTCGTGCCGTCCTGGATACAGTCGAGTCTTCGGTAGCACCTCTAAAGTTTGTCGTTATGGCAGCTGGGTGGGAACCGACCTGGTCTGTAGGTATACAGGTATGTACATGCTACCCACTATGATATCCACCGTGGGGTTTTGTGGCGCAACGGCAGCGTGCTGGACTCGGAATCAAGAGGTCCCGGGTTCGAGTCCTGACATGCCACCGACCTTGTGCCCTTGGGAAAGGCACTTAACACGACTTTCCCCACTAGACTCAAGTGAAAATGAGTATTGTCTGTCCAGTATTTGTTTCTATGTGCGGGACACAACACCAGCAACAGCTGCCTCTGTTCCGCGTGTATTGCATTGTTGCTATTTCAATAAAATAAAAAATAAATAAAAATAAAAATATCTAGAAGTTAATAGGAAGTTCCTTCAGTCACAACCATGGTTATCAGTACTACATACACATGCAGCTTCAGTGCACAGCGAGCCGGTAACGCCTATTTCTTCGGTGCACAGCAAACCAGTAACATAATTTTAGTGCACAGCGTAACACCTATAGCTTCAGTGCATAGTGAACCAGTAACACGCAGCGTAAGTGCACAGCGTAACACCTTTAGCTTTTAATGCATAGCAAACCCGTAACACCTATAGCTTCAGTATGCCATCAAAATGCCAGTATTATTTTTTGTACTGCCCTAAAAAATACACAATATCGTGCCTCCCTTTTTAGCAATTTAGCTAAATTGGTAGGATTTGACATAAACCTCAATGATCTCTCTGATGATGTTTTAGTTCATTTATTCCTTACAGGTTCTGTATCACTATCATATCGAAATAACTTAACAATTTTACTTTATTTTCAATCATTTATAAAGGAAACTGAAAGATTTTAGTAATTCTTTCCTATCAATTTTTTTAAGTTTTGCCTGGAGTACTTTACACATTGTAACCTTATTTATTCTATTCTGTTTTTATTAAGCTTTGCATGTCTGTTTTTGCATTTGCTTTTGTATTTTTGTAATGTTAGATGGCGACATGAACATAAGCTTCGGCTTGAGTGTGTCGTCATCCTGTCCACTTTGTTTCTAAATGTTTTAATAAAGAAAAAAATTGTCAGTTCGTGTTTAAGAAGTGGTTGTGAACAAAGAACATTTCCGGACATACATGTGTCTGAAAGCGTAAGAAAAAAAGAGTGTAAGAAAGTGTATGAAAAAAAGAGAAGAAGAGAAAAATGTCCCATATCTGATAGGTTCAACAAATACTTGAAAAGTAAAGCATGATCTGCTCAATGTCTTTGCATGAACTAGAGCGTGCTCTTATGTCTATTCGTAAAAAGGGCATATTGTACATTCCATAACGACCCAGTTTCTGGCCAAATTTAGCTTATGAGGTACTAAATTTATCTTCTGAATCTGCTTCTTCCCATTATTACACACAGCGACCCTGTCCTGCTCTTCTGCGCCGCCCCTCCGAACCTGGAGCTACATGTACGGTTGTTACGTGCCCTACACTCACGGGAAGACTTGTCACTTCGGCTGCCGCTCCGGCTACCCTCAAACCGGTAGCAGGTCCAGGACCTGTCGCAACGGGGTGTGGACTGGGACACCGCTGACCTGTGTCGCACGTAGGTATCCAATAACTATATCAGATGTAAAGACTAAAAAAACAATGTGATTATATCAACAATTTTAACAATTTGGTGATCGCCAAAAAGCAGTTACTTTGCCGTATCGTATTACCGGGATGTATAACCTTCATCGAAGAATTTTGGTGATCGTTTTTATGGTCTGATGTTAGATGTTAAAGACGAAAGAGGAAGTAACGTTTACTAACAGAGTTCTGCAGGGTATACACAGACTGTCACATGCAAAAAGGAGTTATCGAATTATCTAACACTTAGCATACAACGGGGTTAACTAAAGCTAGTTTTTTTTTACCTAACTTTGCTTTTTTTCTACTCGTTGGTTTTTTACAATAGCTGGCGAATTAATGTCGATCTTAAAAATCGTCTTTTTAGCAAATAACCAGTAATCGATGTGCTTTCTAGTTGACTGTAGTAGCAAAAAGCAAATTACCTATCAGTGTTGTATAAGTAGCTTACTTTTATGCATTTTATTTTGCAGCATACTGGTAGATCGCCAGTGCGACAGTGAAGTGTTGGAAACACTGTGGATCCACATGGCTAAGATATACCAACGGCTCTAGTCACTCTTGTTTAAAGTTCACCCAATCTATGTCTAAGAAGTTTTTAGAATAAGACTCATTCTGTGTCTTGTTCAGTTCTTGTATAATGAAGGAAAAGGGAATATCTGTTACAAAAGGCTCATTTCATTTGGTGGATAAGATCGTTTTGTAAAATTAAGGACTTAGAAGAAAGAAGACATTTAATTTTTGTACTACTTTTGGAGCATAATATCATATTATTATCATAGTACTATGAAGTAATAACATCCACTGTATCTGTATGGAAAAATATCTAGCTTCTAAATAGTATAGGGCAGTTTGTATTTAGATGGAATAATGTATTTCTAAGTAATTGAGTCTATCTCAAGCATATCATGTTGAACAAACATGTTGAAAAACATATTTACACGCACACACAGAGACACGCGCACGCATACATACACGCGCGCGCGCACACACGTACACACACACACGCGCACACACACAGTTTTTGGAGGTAAAATTTAACTAAAGTTTTACTCGAAGTCCACACAATCCGAATGGAAAGGTAAACCAGGTCTAAATGTGGTCAGACTACTTCGCAACTTTAGCCCGTCTTAGTTGTATGTTGGTCTGGGAAATGTTCTGAATATTTGACAATGGTTATTAGGCTGGCTAGTTTGCGATTTAGCAATAAAATACTCATCGTGAAATACTAGAGTTCTCGGCACAACCGTAATCTTTGTTCCTAAATATTTTAAACTGGAGCAGAGTGTCCTGCACTAGAGAAACACAGTAAAAGTATAAAATGAGGAGTGGTCCGATCTCTGTCATTCTTGAGAAAGACTGAACAAAGCCGAAACCGGTCGAATTCCGTCTCATCGTTGTCGTCTTCCTATCGCTACGAAAGAACTCTGCTCCACAATATCCTTCACCTCATTAAAAAGGCCAGACGGAGGGAGTAATTCTTGATTAACCAGAAAATAGCATATGTGTCTCTGAAAAAAAAGTTTCAAAATTGTAGTCACGATATATCTTCTTCTTCTCCTTTTCGTCTTAGCAGACGTCGGTGGCGCAACGGTTAGAGCGTTGGACTCGGAACCAAGAGATCCCGGGTTCGATACTCACTGTGGCCCGACGTTGTGCCCTTGGGAAAGGCACTTTACACGACTTCCCGACCTATACGGTGGAGTGACGCCCACCGAGCCTCTTAGGCTAATCTGTCTGTCAGGGTGCCAAAAACACCTTACGGATTTGGTGCGCCGATGTGACAGCATCTCATATTGGCCACTGAGAGCCTTAAAATTATATTATATTAGACGCTCTGCTCAACGTCGATGGACTCGTCCGTGTGCGGCCAGCCCAGCTTTACTCCTGCAGAGTTTCCCGCAGGTTGTGCAGGTGAAAGCGGGTGTTGCAGAAGGATGGTGTCTTTTTTGCCTTCTTGTGGTCTCATTATGGACTAGGTCATCTTCCAGTTTCTTGGCACCTTGGCGAAGTGCATACCGCCATGCAGTGCGGTATATACGTGCTGAATATTATGTAAAAAAACATTCAGAGAAATGACATATATCACAAAGCACCTTTATTATAAGTTTAGTAAAGTCAGAATAAATGAGTCTTATATTTTAATCATTATCATGTCAAATAAGAGATTAACAGGTCCTGGGCACTGTAATTTCCATCGTCCAAAATTACATCTTGCTACAAAAAGTACGTCCTACTCTCGTTACCATGCTAATTTGATGCACCGTAAGTAAATACTTGTAAGATTGTTTCCACCTTCACCACAAATAAAATCACAATAGAGAACCACTACTAAATCTATCTTTGACTTTTAATGTCTGTAGTCTATTCTATAGCAAAATTATCCCATAGCATTGTGGCTTTTATGTACCATATGTAGTTACTCTATATTTAAAATACAGATGCCGTAACATAGCAGACCTAAGAATTGCAAATAGTGTAGCAAAGCATTGCCTATAAATTTCATACAAATGAATTTGAATACACATTTTGCACTATGAATTGCCCATTCACTACAAATATTAAAAAAAAAACATATCACATAATTCAACCATTTTTGTAAATGGGATATAAATAGGGTTTTCTGAATTCGGTGCGATTTTATTAATGCGTCATTCCGCTTGGTTTTGATTGAATTCGGAAGAATCGTGATGTGTGGACTAAGGGGACATTATCTTAGAGCATGCACCTGCACAACATCTGCTATAGTTTAACATATACGTCCTGGGCACAGCAGGAAACATTAGTGTGTGTGTGTTTGTTTGTTTGTTTGTTTGTATTTGTGTGAGTATGTTTGTGTGATCATATGTGTTTGTGTTTTAGTCCTGGGAAGGAGAACATATTTCTGGTGCGTGAAGCATGCTTAAAATCATCATTTCTTCATTAATTATTCAAATTAGATCCTGATTTACATAATTGTAATTCTATTGTGTCAAGCATGACTTAAGCTACCTATATACCAAAATCATGACGAGCCGTCGAACGGTATTTTAGTTATCCTCTCTTGAATATATTTTTTTAACAAACTGTCCTTCAGTTCCAAAACAAGCTGCTAGGGGGCCTTAACTCGAGTGACTTCTTTCCAAGCACAAAACCTACCTACCATTCCAAATTCATGACTGTAGCAAGTCCAAATCGCTAGATATCAAGACCAGAAGTCCGGCGTCAGTACGAAGGAAAGCCCTTAAAGGGCCAAAAATCTTATCATTTCTAGATGTAGTCACACCCTACAGACCCACTAAGTATGAAACCAATCCATCCAGCCGTCCTTGAGTTATCTTGCTTACAAAATATAGTTTCCTATGGACTACATTCGTCAAATTCTTAGAACATCTCAATCGCAGTACTATACCAATGGCTCCGCCCCTGATGAGTCGTCGCCAAAACGCATTCCAAAAAGTTTATCTTTCCGAGTTTGACGTCACGTATTTGATTTAAAGCTTGCATATTCTAAGCCCGCTGTCTAAACCTATGAATATTCTTCGCGGCTCGGTTCCGGGCGTCATGTCAGGGTAATTACGCATTCAGATCCTCAGCCGTTCTCAGAAGAATCGCAGGCAGTCTTCGCCCTCGCGACAAAGTTCCACAATATCGTTCAGTTGTTCTCGCATTGATCGCCGGCAATCTTCGTCCTCGCCACACAGATCCATATTATAGTTCACCAGTTCCCGCAGCCATCGCTTGCACTCTTCGTCATCGTCACACTGAGCAACCAACTCACTAAAATGTTCTGGATAATAATCCCAGTATGCGCTACCTTGAGCTGGGAAAGAATACATAATGCATTACCGATTTACAACCCAATACTTGTAAAATAAACAAGGTGATGTTCCTTTAATATTAAGTACGTACTCTTTTAGCCGATAAAGGGGCCAAACAGGGCCACATCTGCTCCTGTGCGCATCATGCCTACCTTTGAGCATGAAGCTCCTCTCTCCATGCCCTAATATGGTCCCACCCCAAATATGGTAACGCACACTGCTAAAGCAAATTCCCTATAACACAGCCTAAAACGCTTGTAAAACAGTTCTAAAAGAAAAGAAAAAAATGTACATACCAAATTTAAGGTCATTTGGCCCCAAAATGAAGAAATTAAATCCATTAAAAGAAATGGCAGGAGAAGAAGAAGAAGAAATATAAGAAAAAATATTTCTTCACCACACTGCTTGTTGGTGTTGTAAAAGCCATAATGAATGGAAAACAAAATAGCAAAGGCAAAAAAAAATTACCTATACCGGTCTATTTTACTTCAAAGTATGGCTTTGACAGCTCTAACCTGCGGCCTGCAATGTTTTCTTTCCAAAGACCGTAATATCATACGTTGCATTACGCACCTCTCTCACAGAACAGGTCGGTCCCAGTCCAGGCCCCATTAGAACAGGTCCTACTGGTGCTGCCGTTGACTTGAGTGAACCCCTGATCGCAAAAGTAGATACACGTTTCCCCGTCGATGAAGGGGGAGTAACAGCCGCCCCAGCCAGTGTTTGGCAGCTCTGGTGGTCTATAGCAACTTGGACCTGAGCTCAGGAAAAAGAAATCAACATGGTGCATTTAATTAACATTCTCTCACTCAGAATACATTGTATTTTTATGATGAAACATGCTCATTTCATTCCATTTTTGTAATGTTTGCATGTTATATATGCCGAATAAATGATATTAAAGAAGACAAGATGACGGATCTAAAATGATCAATTAATGCTGGTATCTGCTTAGAACAGGACGTCATTTTACTAAATCACCTTAAAGTATAGCCGTTGTTAATGTCCACACTTGAATAAATTCGTTGCTATAACAACTATTATTTTTGCATTTTGTTGCATGTCCTGACAGATCATAAACAGTTTCAATAATTATGTGATGATTATGCCATATAGTACAATCAATATAGAATTGTTTTTACCTTTTCTAAGTTCAGTGGTAAGGTGCACAGATTCTAGGGGGGTCAGGGGTTGCCAGGGTGCCATACGATTTTTAACGGCAACCCCGAAAAAAGTTTTCGGGGAAGCCGTTACAAATCGAATGGCACCTGGGCTAGATGATGGGCTGTTCCGTAAGGATAAACATGATGTTTTCGTTTTTTTCTAAATGAAAGAACTTTAAAGGAAATTCGTGCCCGGAGACTAGTTGCAAGTCATAAACATACAACAATATTGAAACAGATTATACAATAATATATAATGATGAAACGTTGTTGACTAAAACTATAGCCATGTCTGAAGGGTTTGACTTCTCTTTTGTAAACCTTGGAAGACGTACTGTCCCACCTTTTCCAAAATTTGTGGGTTTTGGGAAGTTAACAGAAGATTTTTTTTCTTTGTAAGTTTAGAGAAATTGGGATACATTGTAGAAGTTTGAATAGTCTGCTCATTTCGAGCGTTGTTATAAAACGAACAATTTGAGATAAAGTGTATTTCGTCTTCCACAGCCTTTACACTACAATATTTTCAATTCTTTCACATACAGGTAGCCTTCTATACCGGCCTCTCTCTATTTAATAACAGTAAGGTGCACACCTATCTCACAGACCAGGTCAGCCCCAGTCCAGGCTCCATAAGAGCAGGTCCTAGTGGTGTTGCCGGACAC